TGTTCTCAATAAAGTTTGAGATCCTGATTCGGTTTTCTATTTTTCATTTTGATGCAGATGAGTATGATCCTCAATGAGGCTCTAAGGTTATATCCCCCTGCTGTTTCGGTTGTAAGGAACGTTGAAAGGGAAGTTAGACTAGGAAAGCTCATTGTTCCTAGTAATCTTGATGTGGTTGTCTCAATCGTAGCAGTTCACCATGATCCTCAAATTTGGGGACAAGACGTGCAACTTTTCAAACCAGAGAGATTCTCAGAAGGAGTTGCTAAAGCAACTAACAACAACATAGGCGCATTCTTACCCTTTTCAATGGGACCTCGAACTTGCGTGGGCTTGAACTTTGCAATCACTGAAGCAAAGATTGCTCTGTCAATGATTCTACAACGCTTTGCCTTCACCCTTTCCCCGGGTTATGTCCACTTGCCCTTACATTATCTTACAGTTCGGCCACAACATGGAGTTCAGGTAATGCTGCATTCACTTTGAAGTTGAACTGCCCAAGTAGACATAAGTCCATGTTGTGCCTTGCACTCTGAGACAAGACGAGCTTATTTGTCAACTGTCCTTTCAACTCTAATTAAGAAGAAAAGGATGTTATTGAAGTCAATGCATTCCCCAACAACAATTGTACAATAAACAAAGCTTGAACTTCATGGAATCATGAATTTGATTGAAAAGGATGGTTTCTGAATGCTAATTAATAAGAAAAGGATGGTAATAAGGGCTCTTTGACAAAGTTTTTTACTTTTTCATTGATTGTTCTTTCTCAGGACATTGAAATTTAATGAGAATAATTGAAAGCTGTGATAGCCTCTGTTAACCTCCTTAATGACTGTTGCATCAGCTTATGTTAACCTTCTTATCACAGAGTCAGGATTCCTGGCATCAGGCAACTTTCTTTTTACTAAATCTCAACTTGGGAATCACATGGATACCCATTTTTATATGTGTTCATTCCACTTTGAAGAGAAGAAGAATCCATCTAACTTGGGCGGGTCTGACCCAAAATAATAGCCATTTTGGAATTTCCAAGGTCAAGGACGGGATGATGATGGTGGCTCAGATTTGGGGGTGGCGAGCACTGCTCTGAGAGAGAGAGAGAGAGAGAGAGAGAGGTCGCGGGTTATTTATATGTTGATAAAAAAAAAAACAAAAGGAGAGATGGGCTTTCACTTGGGCCTAGGCTTGAAACACTAATAAAACCAAATGCCCTATTTTGATTGGGATTGGGCCTTAGAAAATACAACATTAAATGGATTTTGCATTATGAAATCACTAAAGCAACCACTAATAAGTATGTATAAATAAATAAATATTATACTATTTGTTTAATATATACTAGTCTCTTCGCACGCGCTTCCACGCCTGTGAGATGCTTTTTATTTATTTATATATTTTAAATTAATTTAGAATTAAAAAAGATAATGAATAGTTGTGTTCCATAAAAATAAAATTCATTATTTGAATTTTCTTTTAATTTTAATTTTTTTAATATGAAAAAAATGAGAATTTACTATATTATCCTCATTTAATTAATAATTTCAATTCTTAATGTTTGCATTAACCAAGCCATTTTCTAATATTTTGAGTGTTTTACGATTCTCAACCTTTTACTTTATATATATAGATGTATTAGTCCCGATCTCTTGGACTACAGGGGTCCAAGAGATTTGTGGTCACTCACCGTTGGATGTAAATTCAATGGTTCACTCACTCTTGCACTCCTTTTAAGAATTTTTTTTGAATCATTGGATTAATATCCAACGGTGGGTGATCACAATCTCTTGGACTCATGTAGTCCAAGAGATCGGGACTGATAGATGTACTATGGTAGTATTTTATAATTTATACATCGTTTTATTTTGCATAATTTTGGTATAAATTAATAATTTATAAGACTAAATAATAAATAAATAAAAGAAATAGGCCTTGATTACTCCTCTAGTGCTAGGCCCCTGCCTACAGCCTAGCGATTTTTATTCATATACAAGTAGGCGTCTTTTTAGATAGGGTCAAAATTGATAGTGGTAACAGAGCAAGTTCTCCTCCCGATCAGATGCAGTCTATTTTAGATGGTGATGGTCTCTTGAGGCCTAGATTTGTTTCTGTGTATTCTCTTTGGTTTGGGCTTTGCCCCCTATTTTACCCACACACAAAAAAGTAACAGAGCAAGACAATTTAAATAGTCAACTGCGGGAGCTGAATATTGATCTGGTTCAGAAATCTAGCAAAAGAGAAAAACTTTACTAAAAAAATGGATTCCTCTGGAGAAGTAGCTATCATTCTTTCAAGCTGTGCGTGTCTGTTCCTTTTTTTAGCTCTCATCAAGATCTTTCACAAGCTATGGTGGAAACCAACAAGCATACAGAGGCTGATGGCTTTGCAGGGCATCAAAGGCCCTGTTTACAGACTTGTCCATGGAAACACCAAAGAAATCTTCAACATGCAAAATGAAGCCATGGGCAAGCCCAAAGGTTTATCACATGACATATTTTCCAGAGTTCAACCTCACTTTCACTCCTGGACCAAGTTATATGGTAAAGAAACTCCTCATTGACTAGGGTTTTTGAGTCTTAGTTCTGAAATAACTTTGGTCATCTTTTTGCAACAGGGAAGAATTTTCTTCAATGGTATGGTCTTCGACCTCAATTGATCATCACGGAACCTGAGTTGTGCAAGGAGATACTGAACGACAAAGATAGAGCTTATACGAAAAGCGAGCCCAAAAGCTTTGTGAAGCAGCTACTGGGAGATGGACTTGTGACAACAACCAACACTGAAAAATGGGGAAAATTGAGAAAGGTGGCCAACTATGCTTTCCATGGAGAGAGCTTAAAAGTAAGTTCTTAAAGTTGCTTATGAATGGCAGAAAAATAAGAAAGGCATAAATTGAAAGTAAATTTGTTAATGGTATGATGGTAGAGTATGACTCCGGCAACGATAGCTAGTGCTGAGATTATGCTTGAAAGGTGGAAAAATCAAGATGGCAAAGAGATTGAGATGTTTGAAGAATTTCGGTTGCTCACCTCAGAAGTGATTTCCAGGACAGCATTTGGCAGCAGCTACTTAGAAGGGGAGAAGATTTTTGAGATGCTGATGAAGTTAGCCTTGTTATCTTTCAAAAACTCTTTGAAACTCAGGATTCCTGGCATCAGGTGAATTCTTTGTTTTTTTGTTTTTTTTTCATTTTCCCCATCTGCTGCACATCAAAGAACTTTTCACAAACGAGTTCTTGGATTATTAGTTTAGTTCTCATGTTAAATCTTTCATTGAATATTACAGTAAGTTTTATAAAACATGCGATGAGATTGAATCAGAGAATCTTGAGAAAGGAGTATATAACTCCATAATAGAGATTGTTAAGAAAAGAGAAAAGAAGGCAATGGCTGGAGAAGAAGATGGCTTTGGGAGTGATTTTCTTGGATTACTTTTGAAGGCTCATCATGATGCCAATGACAACCAGAGGATTTCAGTAGATGATTTAGTTGATGAGTGCAAGACATTTTACTTTGCTGGACAAGAAACCTCTAATAGTTTGCTTGCTTGGACTGTCTTTCTTTTGGCAATCCATACGGATTGGCAAGAGGAAGCAAGAAAGGAGGTCCTAGAAATATTTGGAAAACAAAATCCGAATATGGATGGCATTGCCAGACTAAAAACAGTAAGAAAGTCCAGTACTCAATCAATCGCTTCTCCAAGTGGCATAAATGTTCTTAATTAACTATGAAATACTGATTTCTTTTTCAAATATTCATGTTCATGCAGATGACTATGATCATCAATGAGACTCTGAGGTTATATCCGCCTGTTGTTGCCCTTGAGAGGGAAGCTGAAAGGGAAGTTAGGCTGGGAAACCTCATTATCCCTGCGACTGTTGAACTCATCATTCCATGTTTAGCATTTCACCATGAGCCTGAATTCTGGGGACAAGACGTGCATCTTTTCAAACCGGAGAGATTCTCTGAAGGGGTTGCTAAAGCTACTAAGAATAACATAGCCACATTCTTACCATTTGGTATGGGACCTCGAAATTGTGTGGGTTTGAATTTTGCAACCAATGAAGTAAAGATTGTTCTGTCAATGATTCTACAACGCTACTCTTTCACCCTCTCCCCGGCCTATGTCCACTCTCCCTTTCGGCTTCTTACAGTTCGCCCTCAACATGGACTTCAAGTAATGCTACACTCACTGTAAACAGAAAGAACCAGAATTGCCTATAATCTTGGACTCGGTGTATGGATTACCTAATGTCTTTGGACATGGTTAGCTTGTTATTTTAAAAGATTGTAATATCTGCTGTGAGCTTTGTAAAAACTTACCTCCTGTTCTGCTGCTTTGCTGCATGTTTCTGGTAGAATTTCCATTGATGAAATAAAATGTTTCGTGAACCTAAAGAGCATCTCTGACCCCAGGCAGCACATTAGCATGAACTTTACTAATGCATATAGCCCAAAATATGAAAATAATAAGGTTCATGGGAACCTACATATATACATTATTCTGATCGCTGATGCAAACGAAAATACAAAAGTAATACAAGCTTTACGTGTTTGTGTACAAAAATGAACAGGTATAAGGGAGTTTTCTTCAAACTTGGGAACAGCCAAAGAAATTGCACATTGCACATGCCAAGAAAATAAGGGTACTTAGAAATAGACTACAGAGGAAATGAAGAGAGAAGTGATGGGTAAATTTGGTGGATTAACACCAAAGAAATCTCCAACATGACAAAGGAATTGTTAAAGAGGGCTGCACAAAGTTTAGTATATTCCAGTTAGTCACAAATTTTAATAATGTTGCAGCGTCATTGGTTGTTAGCAAAGCAAGCAAATAATCCACAATGAAGCCATATAATATTGCAGGGTCATCTTGTTAGGGACAAAACTGGCATCTTCTTTGTGTCATAATCTTATACCACAAGCATCCCAATTAAGTAATAAATCCATAAGTATCCCAATTGGAAATCAGTAGGTTCAGAGATACAGCCAAAGAGAAAAATAGCCAGGAAAATGAGTTGGTTCAGAGATCCAGTAATCACTCTTTCAAGATTTCTGTTTTTGTTCCTTCTCTTAGTTCTCATCAAGATCTTTCACAAACTATGGTGGACTCCGATTCGCATCCAGAATATGTTGGCTTTGCAGGGAATCAAGGGCCCTTCTTACAGACTTATCCATGGAAGCACCAAAGAAATCACGAGCATGAAAAAGGAAACAATGGGAAGGCCCATGAATTTATCACATGATATATTACCTAAAGTTCAACCTCATATTCATTCATGGACCAAGATATATGGTAATAATAAACTCTTACCTAACTTGGCTTTTAAATCTTGTTCCGAGAAATAATCTGGCCTTTTTTTTTTCCAACAGGGAAGAATTTTCTGCAGTGGTATGGTTCTCAAGCTCAATTAGTTATTGGGGAACCTGAGTTTTGCAAAGAGATACTGAATAACAAACATAGAGCTTATCCCAAAAGGGAGCCTCAAGCCTATGTAAAGAAACTATTAGGAGATGGCCTTGCATCAACGGAATGTGAAAAATGGGGAAAATTGCGAAAGCTGGCCAACCATGCCTTCCATGGAGATAGCTTAAGAGTAAGTTGTGCAGACTTACAGTTACTGCCAAGTCTTGCAAATTTTCAAAGTGTATGATATGGCATTGTTGTTTGTTTTTTTTTTTACTAGAGTATGATTCCAACAATGACAGCTAGTGTTGAGACGATGTTAGAAAGGTGGAAAAATCATGAAGGCAAAGAGATTGAGGTGTTTGAAGAATTTAGATTGTTGACTTCAGAAGTGGTTTCCAGGACAGCATTTGGCAGCAGCTACTTAGAAGGGAAGAACGTTTTTGAGATGTTGATGAAGTTATACTTCTTGATATTCAAAAATTTGTTCAAATTCAGGTTTCCTGGCATCAGGTAACTTCATTTTGTTGAATTTCTCTATGACTTATCAATTTTAATGATGTTCTGTTCTCACTTCACATGTTCATATCTTTCATTCTATGTTGCAGTAAGCTTATTAAAACCAATGATGAGGTCGAATCAAAGAAGCTAGAGAAAGGAATACGTGAGGGCATAATAGAGATTGTCAAGAAACGAGAAGAGAAGGCGATAATGATTGGAGAAACAGACAGCTTTGGGAGTGATTTTCTTGGATTACTTTTAAAGGCTCATCATGATTCCAATGAGAAGCAGAGGATTTCGGTGGATGATTTGGTTGATGAATGCAAGACATTTTATTTTGCTGCCCAAGAAACCACTAATACTTTGCTGGCTTGGACTGTCTTTCTCCTGGCACTCCACACAGATTGGCAAGAGGAAGCAAGAAAGGAGATCCTGCAAATATTTGGCAAACAAACTCCACACTCTGATGGCCTTGCCAAACTAAAAACAGTAAGAATGTCACACAGTCAATTGTTTGTCCAAGTGACAAAAAAATGTTCAACTAATTTGTATAAAATCCTGTTTTGTTCTCTATTTTTCCTTTTGATGCGTGCAAATTGCAATGCAGATGGGTATGATCATCAATGAGTCTCTAAGGTTGTATCCTCCTATTGTTTCCATTGCAAGGAAAGTTGAAAGGGAAGTTAGACTAGGAAAGCTCATAGTTCCTGCTAATGTTGAAATATTCATCCCAAGTCTAGCAATTCACCATGAGCCTCTACTCTGGGGAGAAGACGTGCACCTTTTCAAACCAGAGCGATTCTCTGAAGGGATTGCTAAAGCCACAAAGAACAGAATAGCTGCATTCTTACCCTTTGGAATGGGACCTCGAAATTGCGTTGGGTTGGACTACGCAACCATTGAAGCAAAGATTGTATTGTCAATGATTCTACAACGCTACTCCTTCACCCTTTCCCCTGCTTATGTCCACTCTCCTTTGCAGTACATTACAGTTCGCCCACAACACGGAGTTCAAGTAATTCTACACTCACTGTGACCTGCGCATGACCGAAAACAAAATGGGCAAGGGTCTTGTAGGTCAAGTGGTTAAGAGCATTTGTCCATGCATCCGAGGTCCTATATTTGATTTGCCCTTCCCCAATATCACTTATATAGAAAAAAGTGTAACACAATGGTAGGTCTTAATTAATACAATGAAAGAGAGTTTAATAGCATCTTTGATAGAGAATATATTTGATTTCTGTTCAACGTTGCTATCAATCACACATCTACATTTCTTGTGTGGTCACACTTTCCACCTAAAGTTTGCAATAATTACCGCAAGTTTCAACAACCAAGTGTTTAATAAACCTTAGCCAACACAGAAGGTAGCTATTAGAGCCGCTGTCCTGTCCCACTATTTATTATCATTCTCCTATATTTAGACATGGATACAATCGTACTCGTACGTGAGCTGAGATTCCAATATATATATACATATATACGTCATGTTTTTAATGAGCCGACAATGCCAGCTTTAGGTTTTCAACAAGTCACCGTGATCAGTGACGCCATATGATATGCATAAACAGATATGCAATATTCCCCGCCTTTCATTGTCTATTAGAAGCTAAGAGACGCATTTTTGAGGTCAACGATGGCAACATTTTTCCAAAGTAATATTTATTATCAAAATAGAGCAAGAGACTTGTTAAGAGCAAGAAGCTTGTTAAAGAACACAAGAAGAAGAAAACTAAGAAACAGAGGAGGAGATCAAGAGAGAACAATTAGAAAAAATGAGTTGGTGCGGAGAGCCGGTGATCCTTCTCTCAAGCTTTCTGTGTCTGTCGTTGTTGCTAGCTCTCGTCAAGATGTTCGAAAAGCTATGGTGGAACCCGGTTCGCATACGGAAGCTGATGGCTCTGCAGGGGATCAAAGGCCCTTCTTACAGACTTATCCATGGAAACACCAAAGAAATCTCCAACATGAAAAAGGAAGCTATGAGCTGGCCCAAGAGCTTATCACATGACATCTTTCCTCAAGTTCAACCTCATATTCAGTTATGGACCAAGTTATATGGTAAAGAAAGAAACTCTTCTTCCTTCACCTATGGTTTATTTTTTCTGTTTTCTTTTTTAATCTTACTTAGCTTCAAAATAAACTTTGGTAATCTTTGGAAACAGGGAAGAATTATCTTCAATGGCATGGCTCTAAAGCTCAGCTGGTCATTACGGAACCTGAAATATGCAAAGAGATACTGAATAACAAAGACGGGGCTCTTCAAAAAACAGAGACTCTAGGATATGTGAAGAAGTTATTAGGAGATGGCCTCACGAGATCCTCAGGTGAAAAATGGTCCAAGTTGCGAAAGCTGGCCAACCATGCCTTCCATGGAGAGAGCTTAAAAGTAACTTCCTAACGTTATTGTTGGTGATTCTTTCTTCCAACAGCATTTTTCTAAAAGTGAAACAGAATAAATGAAGGATTGAAATTTACAAGTAAAATTTTCCGACTGTGTTGATCAGAGTATGATTCCAGCGATGATAGCTAGTGGCGTGACAATGCTTGAAAGGTTGAAGAACCATGAAGGCAAAGAGATTGAAGTGTATGACGAATTCAGGTTCTTCACTTCAGAAGTGATTTCCAGAACAGCATTTGGCAGCAGCTACTTGGAAGGGAAGAACATCTTTGAGATGTTGATGAAGTTATCCTTCTTGACATTCAAAAATGCTCTCAAACTTAGGTTTCCTGGTATCAGGTAACTCAGACTTGTTATGCATAAAACTAAGTTTTCTTCTAAGCTTGCAGAGAATATTGATCACTCCAATGTTCTTTCATTCAATATTGCAGTAAGATTTTTAAAACCAGAGATGAAATCGAATCAGCGGAGCTTGAGAAAGGAATACGCGATAGCGTAATGGAGGTTATTAAGAAAAGAGCAAAGAAGGCAATGGCTGGAGAGGAAGACGGGTTTGGAAGTGATTTTCTTGGATTGCTTTTAAAGGCTCACCATGACACCAATGAGAAGCAGAGGATTTCAGTGGACGATTTGGTCGACGAGTGCAAGACTTTTTACTTTGCTGGACAAGAAACCACTAATTCTTTGCTTGCTTGGACTGTATTTCTTCTGGCCCTCCATAGAGATTGGCAAGAGGAAGCAAGAAAGGAGGTCCTGCAACTATTTGGCAAACAAACTCCACACCCTGAGGGCATTTCCAAGCTCAAAACAGTAAGAAAATATATTAGTGAATTAATTGTTTGCTTTTAAGCTTGAAATGCTGATTTGTTGTCTAATTTTGACTTCGATGCATGCAATGCAGATGAGTATGATTATCAATGAGTCTCTGAGATTATACTCTCCTGTTATTTCCTTCGAAAGGAAAGCCGCGAGGGAAGTTAGACTGGGAAATCTCATAGTCCCTGCTAATGTTGAACTGCAAATCCCAAACCTAGCATTTCATCATAATGCTAAATTTTGGGGAGAAGACGTGCACCTTTTCAAACCAGAGCGATTCTCAGAAGGGGTTGCTAAAGCTACCAAGGATAACATGGTCGCATTCTTGCCCTTTGGAATGGGACCTCGAACTTGTGTGGGCTTCAATTTTGCAACCATTGAAGCAAAGATTGCTCTGTCAATGATTCTACAACACTACTCCTTCACCCTCTCCCCGGCCTACGTTCACTCCCCGTTTCATTTTCTTACAGTTAGGCCACAACATGGTGTTCGAGTAACGCTACATCCGCTGTGAGCTGTGTAAACCATGTGGAGGTGTCATGGTCAAAACCTGAATAGAATTTCGTATAATTTTGCACTTGGTTTACCAAGGCATTATTAATGTCTTTGTGGTTATATATCAGAGAGTTCTTCTCTTCCAGCTTTGGCAAAAAGTGCCAGAAATTTCGCATGCCAGGGGAAATGGTTTTTCACTACAGAGCAGACTATTGTGGAAGTTTTATCGTACCCCAAAAACATGCATTAGGGAAGGCCCAAATCTGATACACGAAAAGGCCCATTTTCCAAAATTAGGCCTCGTTTGGTTGGCAATTAGGAGCCCATGTTCAAAAATTGGGATTGAATCTGAACAATTGAATTGGAAACTTGGAAACTTGAAAACTTGAAAACTTGTTTGGTATTAAAAATTGGAAACCTGTATGTGGTATTTTAGTAAAGGCTTCTTCTCAGGCATTTGCTCGAACATGTTGTCTGCATAAAATAGCAAATCCATCCACTAATTTCAAAAACTTCCAAAATCAGATTGAAAAGTGAAAAGGAATTCTGGAAGAGCAAAGACGAAGCCAAAGTCGATCTTTTTGAGGAAAAATTGATTATGAATCAGATGCCAAACGCACCCTTAGATTTTTTTTAACACATAAACCAACGGTCACCGACTCACCAGATAAAAAGTGTAGACAACGAAGACGACTTTCAAATTTGAGTTGTTCTTCGCTAACTGAATAGCTACCAAGTATTATTGCATACGTTTTCAACCATTTTATTTATTAATTTATAAAATGTGATAAAATATTATTGAGGAAGGCAACAACTAGTACAGCCTTGGTGTGACATCAACAATTATGATTTAATATCCTTATATATAAAACACTAACGTGACAAATAAAACAATGTCAAGAAAAATAATGAATGTGGGCGAGCAATCATCAACAATTAAGAATTAATATCCTTAAGCATCAAGAAAAATAATAACGTGCCAAATAAAATAACAAAAGGTTAAAAGTCTTTGCCCCCTTATTTCATTAAACCAAAAAAAAAAAAAAAAAAGGTTAAGTCTTTGCCCCCTTATATAGACTTTGTTTTAAAAATAAGTAAAATAATAATGAATGTTCACATGGACAAAAAAGAAAAAAAGAAAAAAAATCAAAGCATGTTTAGTCAAGCAAATGGGTCGCCTAGATTTCCGTATTTGTCTTTGCAAGTTGAAAGACTCTCTGTCATGATTTTTAAAATCAAGTACAATTAATTAGATATATCTCATGTGTTAAAATATTTAGGATGAAGAAATTTTGAATCTGAAAGACCAACTTGGTGTTGAAATGAGTGAAGAACTTGGGGCCTCGTTTGCTATCCCCGTTACAAGAAAGTTTTTTTTTCTTGTTAAAGAGGACTATACTAGATTAGCAAAATGCCTCAATTCATATGCAATCAAGATTAGAATCTGACAATGCCAGTTATTGAAGTATTATGCTTTGCTTGAATTGTTTGGCCTTGCAATGGCTTTTTGGCATTGATTTTTATTTTTTATTTTTTCTGGGCAACTAGTTTAAGTAGAGCTTTGAAACAATTAATGGGCTATAACCAATTATGTCCCTGATGGGGCATGAAATTAAAGCATTTTGAATTTATTCTTTCAAATGTTTCATCAGACATTTACCATTCTCTTACATTTACCACATGATCCAGAGGAATTAAAAGTACAACATTTATTGAAATGAATGAAATATTCTGGTCTTCACAGTTCACAGTGAGTGTAGAATTACTGGAACTCCACGCTGTGGGCGAACTGTCATAAACTGAATGGGAGAGTGGACATAACCAGGGGAAAGGGTGAAGCTGTAGCGCTGTAGAATCATTACCAGAGCAATCTTTGCTTCCACGATTGCGAAGTTCATGCCCACGCAAGTTCGAGGTCCCAATCCAAAGGGTATGAATGCCACTATGTTGTTGTTAGTAGCTTTAGCAACCCCTTCTGAGAATCTCTCTGGTTTGAAAACGTTCACGTCTTCTCCCCAATATTTGGGATCATGATGAAGTGATAGATTTGGGACGTGCACTTCAACATTAGCCGGAACAACCATCTTTCCCAGCCTTACTTCCTTGTCTGTTTCCCTAACAAGGGAAACAACTGGAGGATATAGCCTTAGAGATTCATTCAGGATCATACTCATCTGCATATGCATGCATCCAAATGAAAAATTAGATGGCTATAAAAGAAATGAGGATTTTAAACTTAACCACTCATTAGATACATAAGCTAGCAATTAACTGATTGAGTTTCTTACCGTTTTTAGTTTGTTGAGGCCATCAGGGTTTGGATTTTCTTTTCCAAATAATTGTAGGACCTCCTTTCTTGCTTCCTCTTGCCAATCCGTATCGAGTGCCAGAAGAAAGATGGTCCAAGCAAGCAAAGAATTAGTGGTTTCTTGTCCAGCAAAGTAAAACGTTTTGCATTCATCAACGATGTCATCCACCGAAATCCTCTGGTTTTCATTGG